TGCAATATAACAAAGAGTGAAAAATTGAAGGGGGTCTGAATACTTTCCGTACCCACTGTATATATATATATATATAACAAACAGCTAGTGCTGTCAAACGAATTGCATCCAAAATAAAAGTTTTGTTTACATATATATGTACTGTGTATATTTATAATGTACATATAAATACACACACATGCATGTATATATTTAAGAAAAATATGTTACATTTTATATATGATATAAATTATATGAATATAAATATATACATGTAAATACAGGTAAATATTTTCAAAATATATGCTGTATGTGTGTGTATTTATATATACATAATATATGTGTGTGTACTGTGTATATTATGTAAACAAAAACTTTTATTTGGGATGTGATTAATCGCGATTAATCGTTGGACAGCACTAATATATATATATAATAAAAAATGTAAATAAAAACAAACTTAAAAAAAACAACGCTAAAATATATAAATCTGTGTTTATTTATTTATCTATATAGTTCGTGAAAATAGTTTGTAAAAAAACGTTTTGATTCCTTCTTGACACGTGCAGAACATTAAATGTGATTTTCAATCAAAAAGCAAGCATTTTAAATATGCAAATATTTAAACGCCAACTGCTAGTCAAATAAACCGACCAGAAAGCAAAAGTTTCAAGGCTGTCAACAAACAGCATCGATCGCTTGTCTTTTTTTTTTTTTTTAATTAAGAACATTATATAGACAAAGATAAAAGCAGTCACAATGTAGAACAAAAGAAATAATAAAAAAAATATATATAATAAAACTACAGGGTGCATCGATCGCTTCTCCCTCCCTCGCGCTGCTGGGGCGTGACGTCATCATGTGACGGTTAGGTCCACTAGTCGTCTCCTGTCGGGACTGTACTTAACCACCGCTGTTTAGTGCAGATTAACCCGGTCAAATAACTGTCCCCGAGGACCTTTTTCAACGGAACAGATTTTCTGTCTCTTTACGTTGGAGTGGTTTCCTAAAAGTTACTCGTAAATGTAGTCTAACAGCAGCAAACAGACGTCGCGAAGTAAATAGAGATCTGGGCAGTTAGCGAGCGAGCTGCTAGCGAGAGGAGAGCGTCTTAAAGTAAGACTTCGGAGGTCCAGACAGCGGGATAAAACGAGGAAAATGGAGTTAGAGGACGGTGTACTTTACCAGGAGGACCCAGGCTCTTCGGCGATGATGTCCGAGCGGGTGTCCGGCTTGGCGAGCTCCATCTACCGCGAGTTCGAGCGGATGATCGGTAAATACGACGAAGACGTGGTGAAGGAACTTATGCCGCTCGTCGTGGCGGTTCTGGAGAACTTGGACTCGGTGTTCGCGGAGAATCAGGAGCATGAGGTGGAGCTGGAGCTGCTAAAGGAGGACAACGAGCAACTCATTACCCAGTACGAGCGCGAAAAAGCGCTGAGGAAAAGCGCCGAGGAGGTGAGATCCGAGTTTTTGACAACACGAGTCAAACTAGGCCACTTTAGTCGCTCCTGCGAGCTTTAAAAGTTCATAACATCACGCACATGTGACAGAGAGTCAGAGTTAGACACTGAAGAAGAGAAAATCTGCACACACGGGGGGGTAAATAAACAGTCAATCTCAGTTTCAGAACAGATTTAACCCCTCAAGTGTCTGAGGGAAGGTCAGCTGCAGTGATTATGACTCAATGCAGTTATAAACATGTTTCTCTCAAGTCCGCAATCATAAAGTGTGACGCATTGTTTTTTCATGCACTTGAGATGTTAGGTTAGTTTGTGTTTCTTAGTGGCAAGAAAACATCCAAAGTACACATTTAAGTGTTTATTTTATTGTGCCTTTTCTATTTGCGTCTTTATATGTAACCCTGGACCACACATTTTATGAAATTGACATTTATACATCATCTGAAAGCTGTATGTTGATTTGTTAGGATTGGACAATATTTGGCTGAGATATAGCTATTTGAAAATCTGGAATCTGAGGGTGCAAAAAAAAAAAAAAAATCAAAATATTTAGAAAATCGCCTGTAAAGTTGTACAGCTGAAGGTCTTAGCAATGCATATTACTAATCAAAAATTACGTTTTGATATATTTACGGTAGGAAATGTACAAAATATCTTCATGGAACATGATCTTTACTTAATATCCTAATGATTTTTGGAATAAAAGAAAAATCGATCATTTTGACACATACGATGACAATTTTTGGCTATTGCAACAAATATACCCATGCTACTTATTACATATTTCTATTCCAATACATATTTTTTTCCTGCACTGTGCCAGAAACTAACTTAAACCAAACTTTACAGTTTTGTTCCTATCTATATTATGAAGGATTTTGCTGAGGGGTCATTATAATCCTAAAAACATGGTGATTATGTATGTCTTTTCTGCCTGTTGACAGTATTTTGTGATTCATGGAGTGACAAAAAAACAAAAAACAAAAGAATTTTGTATCTGACTTTATCCAGTGTTCAGATTCTGGAACTGTATGCAAATTAGCGCATATTTAATTAGACAGTTCATCATTTGCATATCTAAACATACCATTTTAGAAAACTATTAATACCAAACAATTGTCTTAATGTACTGTGATTAGTCAGCTGGGCATGTACGGTGGTCGATTAATTATTATTAATTTTTTTTACACTTCCCTACTAGTTTAGCTACATTGAACTACATCCAGTCCTATTTGATCACACCTGAAGCTGTTCATAAAAAGGCTCTTGGAAAGCCCAGAAATATCAGGGGATTTAAAAATGATGATGAAATCTTAGTGAATATGCATTTTTAGTTAACACTTCTTTGGCTATAAATGGCTCTTTGTGAGTGCAGTCTCTATCAAAGTCTTTATCCAGTATTTAAATGGAAAAGGTGTGGAAACGCATCGGTCAGAAGGTGCGGAAGCAAGGTGTTTGGGTTCACCTGACAATAACAGGAAGATGCGTGAGACCAGCATTGGCTCATTGTCACCCGTAAAGTGGCATGTACTGTGAGCAAAGGGACAAACCCCACAGCGTCTAAGTATAGCTGGCAAAACTATGATTATCTCAGAAATAGACTCATGCAGAATGTTTCCAGTGGTCACATAACTTATAAGTTTTTTTTCCCCTTTGGATGTGTCTGCTCGTCATGTAAGGAAAGGAAGTGTCTCACTCATGCTTGCAGGTGTGACACACCTAATAGTTGTCAAGTCGAGCAAGCTGTGTCTTGCAGTTGTAATGTGATTAAGTATTACATTATGTTTGAGTCAGCTAAACACTCTTTATTTTCCATGCATGGCATAACTTTATGACACTCGGCTGTGATTGTAAGTGCTTTACTCTATGCTGAATGACTTTTGGAGCATTCGGATATAAATGTATGCAAGTGCAATGAAGCTAATGCATTTATTTATTTATTTATTTATTGCCAAACACCCTAGTTGTTTGGAATTTTTCTTGGTGAGCTCATCAACAATAATAACAAACATTAAAATACATACAATATATAAATACATACACATACACAACTATCTATGTCCTATCAATTATAAGGAGTGAAATACAGATGCATAGACACCAGAGGAATTAAGAGCATGAACAATCCTACAATAAGTGCTGTTCAAAAAACGTGTAGACTTAGTTTTAATTGCTCTGGAAAGTCAGCATGCTTTCAATGACAGCTCTTTGAAAGCGTCATTGAAAGTTTAAATTTGGTATGCAAATTTAACATACCAACTTTAGATATGCCAAACTTTTTAAGCTGTCTTAAGAAAAAAAGCCTTTGATGAGATTTTTTTAATAATGCCTCTTAGGTTGTCGTCCCACTTTAACGTTGCAGAGATAGTAGTCCCGAGAAACTTAAAACATTGAACATTTTCAATGTCCTGACCATTAATAGTCAATGGCAAAACAGCACTTGTCTTCAGTCTGAAATCAAACACCATTTCCTTTGTTTTTAGGACATTCACCTTCAAATTATGAGTACAACTCCATTCGAACAGTGTAGAAACCTCCCTTCTATAGTCCGATTCGTTATTATTTGTTATTAAACCAATCAATGTAGTATCATCTGCAAACTTAAAAATTTGCACTGATTTACAATGTGAAACACAATCATTGGTGTATACAGAGTACAATAACGGTGACAGCACACATCCTTGTGGGGCCCCCACACTAATTGTTTTGAGACTTGAAAGTATATTATTAATTTTAACTACTTGTGTTCTGTTCTGCAAAAAATCCAAAATCCAAAAAGCAAGGGAGTCTTGAATCCCCAATTGCTTATTTTTATGGTCCTCTTGAAAATATTTATTTTAAGAGGAATGTGTACTAAATCACAGCTTTGGCATTTAAATGTTTTCTGTCCTGCATACAAGTTATATGGCTACTTGAGCTATATTAAACATTAAATCAAACACTAATAACCATAACCTCCCAGTCTGTTTTGGCTTGAACACAGTTTGAAATTATTGTAATGCACCGTGTTTTAAAATGTTACGGAGAGCACAGTCAGGCAGTTAATCAGGGAATTGCCAACGCTACTAAATGCTTCAGACAGCTCTCAAAAATAACTTTGTCTGCCAATGACATCATATGAACAACCAGTTAATATTTACACTAATTTAAGTTTCAAGAACCTTAAGTACACAAAACATGCTTCATTTTGAGATGACGTCACTGAAAATAACGATAAGCTGCAGTTCAGTAAGCGAGTCAGTTGTTGATTCAGTAACTTCTCTAACTGATTCAGTGATTCATTCAGAGAATGATTCATCAGACTGCAAACAGGTGTTTAATGTTTCTCTACAACAGGGTTTCTCACACTGGGGTTACGGAGTTTGCGAAAAGCTAATAATTAAAAATGTAAAATAAAAATAAATAGTAATCATCAAAATAAGACAATAAAAAATAAAATAATTTATATATCATAATTTTATTAACCGATATCAGATAACTGTGAACATGCAAATGCGTTTATTAAATTATTGAGAAATTTAATAAATAATTAATTATTGAGAAATTTACTTAAAGTAAATGTCTCAGCTTTCAGAAAGGTTTGGAAATTCCTGCTTTAAACTAAATAGCTCCCAAGAAAAATTTGTTTGTGAATCAGACTACACTAATCACGTTGCAAGTACAGACCACTAGCATTACTATGTTTGGTACACTTTTTTTTTTTTAAGTGAATTTATTTTTATGAAATTCGTTTCAGACGGCAAACAATTCACAGATTGGGTGCAATATTATTTATTTGTTTATTTAGTTAATGCTGTAAATTCAGTAGCATCTGAGTGATGCCATTGAAAAGCAATGCAGGAAACACTGCTACTGGAGACATAGTATTGTGCAGCTTTCTTATTTTTTTACATTTTAGCTGCCATATGCCAGTGGCTTTACTTCTCACCTGTTTGTTAGGAAACCAGAGAGACGCTGCCCTCCTTCTGCCGCTCGTCCTCCTTTATGTGCTTGTCCTTCTAAGCCATATGAATGCGCTCCCCTCTGAGACGGGTTCACTTTCAGCTCATGTGACCCTTTGTTGGGAGCAAGTGAAGTGAAGAGCCTGCCGTATGAGCATGTGTTCTGCTTTAAACTCCAGGCCTTTGTTTTGTTTGCTCTCGATGCTGCCCACGAGTCGTCTGTGCTGTCACTCCAAACACACTTGTGCTACTCTCGTGTTTGAGAAGGAAACACACACTGAACATATACAGTACAAGCATGATTCAAGAGCATTGGTTTGGCGAATCATACAGTCAAAATGTCCAAGGGACAAGTAGACTAATATATTTGAACTGTTAAATAAATAGGCTTGACTTCTGATGAGAGATTAAACTTTTTAATGTTTGTGTGCTCAAAATGATGTTCATTAATAATCATTTTAATGAAACCCCCAATTTTGTGAGGGCAACTTTTCTTCTATAAAATAGGGATGTGCAAACTAGTCAATTAGTCATGACGCATCACTATTATAAAATTAGGGCTCTATGAAATCTGTTTTATTTCTCTCGAATTCCATTTTACTTGTTTTTTTTTTTTTTCCCCCTCCCAAATTCCATGTTTTCCCTTAATTTTTTTTGTTGATTCCATTTGAATGGTTTTATTAAATATTTAATAACATAATTTAATAAAAAGGAATGTCTAATAATTTGAATTCATAAAACTTTAATAATTTATGAAGACTTTAGTTTAAATTGTTCTGGATTCTGTTTTTTATAAATGCAAATTTATTATAAAAAAATGGTAAAAAAAAAAAAAAGGTAATCAAATAAAAGTTAATAAAATTTAAACAATTGAATTAAATCTTTGAAATGTAATCAAATAATATTTGATCAATTCCTTTAATTTTATTTTTGGCCAGCAAAGTGCTGCACAATAGAGGCTTTCTGTTGAAATTAAACCGTGGAAGAAAAATTGTGATATTCCTAAAGAATGACTATTCTTTAGGAATATCACAATTATTGAACTATTATTGTT